ACCTACTGGCGCAAGCCGAGATTTGGTAACCCTGCATCGTCAACTCGCGCACCTGAAACTACAAAACGATTTGTTAGTTTACATACGTGACGATCACAGCCCGCCGCGCTGGGTTGTTCCACTCGACCACAGAGGAGTGATGCTTGCCTACGCCCACGACACTCCGGTTGGAGGTCATCGTGGAGCAAACGCTACCCTCGCGTCACTGACAGAAATAGCATATTGGCCGTCGATGTCCAAGGACGTACACAGCTATGTCCAAGGCTGCCTCATCTGTGCCCAGTTTCAACCCTCCCAGCCGCTTGCTAGAGCACCACTGCAACGCAGGGGAATAACCTTCCCTTGGTCCCACCTGCAGATCGACTGGGTTGGACCGGTTCCCAAATCGGCAAGAGGAAACAAATATATGCTAACTGTAACTTGCAGTTTCACAAAGTGGGTTGAGTGCCTTCCAGCGCCAAACGATACAGCCGTCACAACCGCTGTACTGCTGATTAACCACGTTTTCAGTCGATGGGGACTTCCACTCTGCATTGACTCTGACCGAGGAACTCATTTCACATCCAGTGTAATGACGTCCCTGTTTGAACTTTTGGGAGTGGAAGTGAGATTCCACCTCCCCTATCACCCACAGTCATCCGGACAGGTCGAACGGATGAACCGCACGGTCGTCTTTATGCTCAAAAAGTACGTCTGCTCCACTGGGAAGGACTGGGACGTCAAGCTCCCTCTGGTCCTGATGGCCATACGGTCCACTCCACAGCGATCCACTGGGGTTACGCCCTTTGAGATGATGACCGGCAGACTGATGACTCTACCACTGCACCTCCTGTATCACCCAGAGGATGTCAGTGTTGCCACCGCCTATACCGCTCATCAGTATGTGGCAGACTTGAAAACACACCTCAGAGCTACGTTTGCGCACGCTCAGAAGAAACTGGAGACCAACGTAGAAGGCGCTAAGGCCTACTACGACCAAAAGACAACCAGCCGCGAATACGAGGTGGGTGACAAAGTATTCTACTTTCGGTTCGCCCAACCGGCACGCAAAGCTAAGAAGTTCCTGCCCTGCTGGTCAGGACCATTTGAGATCGTGGCAAAACTCTCTCCAGTTGCATACAGGTTACGCATCACCAAAGCGAGACAGGAGCCTGTCTACAAATGGGTGCATGCAAACCAAATCAAACCCTACGTCAAACCATCCACGCGGGTACAGAGACCAGACTCCCCGCAGGAGGTAGACGTAGTCTCCACATAGTTTTATGCATGGAAATGGAAAAGGGGGGGAAAGTGCACGTTTAACCCACTAACATGTACTAACCGACAAAGAACCAAGCCCCCCCCCGCCGTCATTTTCACTAACCAAGAGAAACTCCTCCTAGAACGCTAACAGGAAGTACTTACTAAAACCTTACAGGGTACTCTTGTAACTGTCAACCTACATTCTGCTCTGATTAATGAATCTCTACGTGCAATCAAGACTTTGTCTGAAACCATACATCAGGATATTGTGTACACATGAGTGGTGAGAGATTTGATGCGGGACCTGCTCAGGGAAGTAAGTTCCACGCTGGACAGCTTGGTTGAAAGTCGTATTTCCCCGTACTTGGTACCACTGGACCTGCTCAAAGTTAGCTTGACAGCTGCTACCCCTCTACGGTGCACCTTTCACAAATCCACCTAGCGTACAGCCTAGGTAGTGCAATTCCCATTCACGTTGAAAAAAAAATTAGAACTCGGTTTCCTGTTAAACGTTCCCATAATTGTGACACCTCACATCTATAGGTTTAGGTCGATGCTGAACATTGGTATTTGAAAGGACGGTAGGCATTTCCACTTTGAACTAGAAACCTGACACTCCATCACCTCAACCTCGAACAGCATGACTCAGAGATTGAGATCATGGACGCTTTCCAGGGTTATAACTTTGCCTTCGATTTAGAAATTGACCAACAATTACTGATTGAAGGAACCAAACTCGTTAAGTTCACACAAAACCCGCGTGAACTTACTTTGACGCCCAAGACGCTACATTGACACAGATTATACGACTTTAATCTGCACATTGGTCGCCCTGGGGATGGGATGGCTCATCACGGCCGTGATGGCTTAGTCCACCTACAGGCGTGTTAAGAAACTCCAAGATAAGATGCTCTTGCTCACCTACGGTGTGCCTCTTGACCGCGTTCGGGGAGACTCCAAGCGTGAATGTACCACACCTGTCTAAAGGGGGTGAGCAACATTTTCTTTGTTATTCTGTAAACCTAAGAGTAGTTTTCATTTTAGTCTACCTCACATATTTATCTGAGTGTTGCAGTATGTCACATTCTTTATAAGCTACACACTGACTGTATGACCTAAGAATGTATTTTATGAGACCTCCAGGTTGCTATGAATTTTCTTGGAGGTTATATGTTTTTTTTTGGGTTTTCTGTATTTTTCTTTCTTACTTGGTCACATATTAACTAGTGGTTATGTGCCGGCCCAGCTCAGTCTGTCAATGACTCTGTCTGACGCACCAGCACATTGTAGTACCTCTTAGTTTTATGGTCCTTGTTTTAGCCCAAAGACTGTCCTGATCCACCCTTTGGACCAAAAAAGGGGGGAATCTTGGGACCACATAGGTCAATGCGCGTTTGCGAACTATGGACCTCGTACATCACCGCGTGCTCCATAAACTGAACTGTATGGCCGGCGGTGAGATGCCTTTGTGTCCACTCGTGGAGTTAACCGCCCACCGACCTTCCTCCTTCTACACTACTACCTCTCGCATGGACGACATCATCATTGCGTACCACCTGCGTGAGTGGCTTCTTCTCGTTATGCGCGTTGGGGACTATCCCGTTTCCTATCCTCTTTGTGCCTGACAAAGACAAAGACCAAAGGCGCCAGGATCCAAGACAAAGACCAAAGACAAAGGCGTCCAAGGAGACCAACGTCCTAAGGGACAAACCCACCTGTGCTTCCGACAATCAAGTCGACCTACGTTCATGAGGAACAAACCCATCTGTGCTTCCGACGATCGAGCTTTGGGCGCGATCCCCGAAACCAAAAGGGGGAATGTTGAGGGTCTGACCTCATGAGGAAATTACTATGCAGTGATTTTCTCCAAAATGACTGTGCTTAAATTGCTCTGAAAAGCAAATAACCACATCAGCGCCAAGAAACTTCATTTCCCATGATGCTTTGCACACGGAAGCATTGGGATGATGTCACCGCCTAGTACCAGAAACACGTTCTGCGCATGTGCGGGAAGCCGTGGAGCTTTCCCCGCGAACTAAGACCATAAATCTTCAGCAGAGACAAAGAAACCTCGTTCTTTTGCCCAGGATACCTGGCGGTGAGGACACGCTTGTCGAACGCTCCGACTTCTTTGAGCACGCGGAAGCTCTAAGAGCCAAGTTGAGCCCACGGGACCGCTGATCTGCTCGTTTCTGCTCCCCTCCAGCTGATGTTTGAGGACACAGAACTGCGGAGGGAAACAACAACTCCATCCAGCTCTCAGAAACGCTGTAAGTTGTCAAACTCAGCCCAAAAGGAACTTCGTTTTCTTTGTGTCCAGCCGTGGAGAAACACTCGTGGAGCCAAACAACGGAGAAAGCATCAAACCGGCGGATGACGCTGAAAGCTGCGGAGAAACACGGAGAACCGTCAAATCAAAACAGTGAGGGACGCTTCACTGTTCTGGTGATCAGAAAACTCATTTTTCTCTCATTCTTTTCTTCTCCCGTTTCCTCTATAGTCCAGAATAAGCAATAAAACCGCGCTATTGCTTAAAAAAAGTAGCTTCGTGTTTTCCTCTTTCGTTCCAAATTCGTCCTTCGGGTCATTTTGAAAGAATAAACTGCTTATTAATCATTGTTTGGTATCTTTAAATGTTCGGCCATGGCCAGGCTGATAAACTAAGGATATTAACTCGTGATTAATCTTTTGTGTTGTTGCATGATCCTTTGAAATGTTTTGAGTGATTTAAGGTTAAGTTACTACTGATTCTAAGTGCTTTGGAAGTTAAAGTGCAAGTTGCCACCCACACTTTAGCCAGACAAAGGAGTCAGCCATCTTGTATTCAAGACTCCATTTTGAATCCATACACACACACACACACTACTCCTTTGTGAGAACAAAGGACCCCATTCCTACATCCTACATACACACAAAACACCTTGAACATTATTTTGAATATACATCCTTTTATTATATCACATGGTTATTATTCATTTATGCCACTGTTTATTCATTTGACAAATTGTTAATTAAACGTTATAAAATTCAGATTTTCGTCTCCAGTAGCTTTGTTGTGTCGAAGAGAAGTCTCTGCTCCAAGGATTCTACGAACTTCAAGAAAGACTGATAAGAGTTTTGGATTCAATTTTTCCCCGGAAAAAGGGGAATGGTGCCCCGTATATCTAAGAATATCTTAATTAATTAATAAATCAGTAAATATTCCCATATTTACAGAATTTATTGAAGAATCCAAAAGTAAGTTGAAGCTTACTAATTGTTCGCTCCTAATAACCCCAACACAGTAGTTCATGTTTGTGCCATAATCAGATTTTTATTTCACTTCTACAAAAGGTTCCTTTTAGATTAGATATTACAGAAAACAGGGACAGCTTGCCATCAAATTTAAAAGCCGTCCATCATTGGGCAGGATGGCTCGCTGCCTGGTTCCAGGTGAGCGACTGTTAAGTGAGAGCAACCTGATGGAGACCCTTGGCTCTAGGGTTATATGTGGGGTACCACAAGGTTCAGTGCTTGGACCAATTCTTTTCACTATATATTTGCTTTCAGTTGGTAAAATCATGAAACAGCACGGGATAAACTTCCACTGTTATGCTGACAAAACTCAGTGGACACAGAGACAAGACTCTTGTCATGATTTGGTGCTAATTAAATAAACTGAACTAAACTTGAATTGTAGTAAATTGTAAGAGTCTACAAGTCTGTAATTGTTTAAATTCACCATTTTCGACCTTGGTAGCTGTGCTGAATCTTTCCCCGTCGACACAATGTTTCTGCGCCAGGTCCATATTTGTTCAAAGTTGCCACGTTTTCCACTTGTTTTTTTTATAAATCACAAAGACGGTGGGGGTGACGGTGGCACAGGAGTTAAGTGCTCGCCTCGTAATCGGAAGGTTGCAGGTTCGAGCCCCGCTCAGTCTGTTGCTGTTGTTGTGTCCTTGGGCAAGACACTTAACCCACGTTGCCTGCTGGTGGTGGTCGGAGGGACCGGTGGCGCCAGTGCTCGGCAGCCTCGCCTCTGTCAGTGCGCCCCAGGGCAGCTGTGGCTACATTGTAGCTCATCCCCACCAGTGTGTGAATGTGTGTGTGAATGGGTGAATGACTGATTGTGTTGTAAAGCGCCTTGGGGGGTTCCAGGACTCTAGAAGGCGCTATATCAAATACAGGCCATTTACCATTTACAAAGGTTGTATGGAAAATGACTTAAGAAACGTTTACATTGTACTCAGGCCATAGCTGGTCAACTTAATGTCACTATGCAGTAACTGGGGCCACAGTGCGTGATGTGTGATGTCACCATGTGGACTCTGTTCAGCTGGTTCAGTCTGAAGACTATTTATACAGAATGACATTTTAAAGCTATTGAACATGTCGTTGTCATTTTACTAATGGAAGTGACAGGTAAAATGGTTATTGCAGGACTCTATTACCATGTCGGTGAAAAAGACAGATAACACACAAATCTAGATGCGATCCGAGTGGAACACCCTACCTGTGTTCGTGTGCCGGGCTCCTTCACTGGCACTAGTTCATCTGACCTAAAGACACGTTCCTTTCTAACTTTTGGCCGGTGAGCGCTCTTTCTGTGCTGTGTCTTGTTTTTACCAGCTGTTTTAGACTTTCTGTTTTGATCTTGTGTGTTTTGACTCTTATGGCTGTTCTACCTGTTTTTACTCTGTGCACCACTTTGATCAGCTGACATGCTGTTTTTAAATGTGCAACACAAATAAATGAGGTCTGGTATGGTTTATTCTTATCAGGTCTGTGGCCCTTTGGCTTTGTTAAAGGAAGGTGCTGGCTCAGGGTCCCACATAAGGGGGTGCTCAGGGTTCGTAGGAGCTGTGGCTATATTGGCAGCAACTAATAGATCATGATCTCCTAAGCAGTGGTGGAATGAAAGGATGAGTCTTTAGGCTGTGGTCATTCCATAATAGTAAGAAAAGTTTTAAACCACAAAGCGCTTCACCACTGTAATGGAGATGCTAACGAGCAAGCAGCTCATCCACAGAAGTCCCCCTTTTAAAGAAAACCACTAAGAGTTCCAGGGTCCGGAAGTTGTTGAATCACATAGAAACTGGCCTCCAAACATGGCCGCCAGCCCTCCACCTCAGCCAGAACCGGGTTTTTCTGCAGTTCTATAGTTGGGGCATCAAATTAGGTTGCCTCCTGGCCTGGCAGACTCGCCCTCTGACTGTTCTACACAGAGGATGAGTCTGAATACTCAAAAGCAGAGAGCGCCATGAGGGGCGGGACTAGCCAGCTCAAAAAATGAAGCACCAGAAAAAAAGACAGAAATGATGACTGTGTCATGTGACGCTGTAGTTTTTTAGTTGTAGTTAAAAATGGTGTCTGGTGACGAAGCAAACATCTGTCTTTAGAGGAAAGACTTTTAGCGCCTGTTCTTTTTTTGGTTTTAAAGACATGTCCAAGTCAGGAAAGAGGAGGAAAGAGCCGCAGCCAACTCGCTTCAGACGCCATCTTCGTTGTTTATGAGAAACTGAGTGGCGCAGTGTGTGACACCTACACTGCTCAGGGGTGGGGTTATTTGAATGGGAGCATTACCTGGCCCTTTGCTTCCCATAAAGAAGCATTGGCATTGATGGCCAGGCTACCTGTAAAGTAAGTAAGTCCATTTTATTTCTATAGCACTCATCACAGACATAGAATCACAAAGTGCTTCACATAGATCCAAACAAAATAAAACTAAGTCACAAAATCCTAAATAGATTAACATCAGAAAAAATAAAGTAATAAAATTATAAAATTTCATAAACAAATGAAAGGTGATGTAAATTGGAGTTAAAAATAGGAAAATAAAAGGTTTAGTTAAAAACAGCTTTAAATAAAAGGGTCTTTAGCTGTTGTTTTAAACTGTCCAGACTGTCAATGCCATGTAAGGATAAAGGAAGATCATTCCAGAGTCGGGGTGCAACAGTCTGGAAGGAGCGATCACCTCGACTATTGTTTCAGGTCTTGGGAACTTCTAGAAGGTTCTAGTGGGTGGATCTGAGGGCTCGGGTTGGAGCATAAGGTTTTAACACTTCAGTAATATAGGGAGGAGCTTGACCATGTAGAGCACTGAAAGTTCTAGTCAGGACTCTAAATGAACTCTAAAGTTAACGGGTAACCAGTGCAGAGACGTCAGAATAGGAGTGATGTGTGCTCTTCTGTTTGCTCCAGTTAGGAGCCTCGCTGCAGAGTTCTGGACCAACTGAAGGCGGTCAAGGATTTTTTGTTAAAACATGTGAAGAGTGTGTTACAGTCATCTAGACGGGAGGAGGTAAAGGCATGGAGAACCATTTCTAGTTCATGTGTTGACACCAACCTTCACAGTTTGGAGATATTTCTTAAAAGATCAAAACAGTTTCGACCAACGTTTTTGAGTGACCTTCAAGAGACATTGATTGGTCAAAAACACCCAAATTCCTCAAGTTTGTCTTGACAGCAGATGATAAATGACCAAGTTTTAGACTAAACAGGGAAGCCATGCTCTCAGGGGCAATGATCAGACAGTCATGCTTTTCAGAGTTCAACTGGAGGGAGTTATCTTCTAGCCAGCTGGTGATCGCTGATAGACACTCTAGTGATTCAGACAGTTTGTAGAACTTAGAATCCTTAAAGGAGCAGTACAGCTGAATATCATCAGCATATAGGTGATAAGAGACATTATGAAAATAATCACATATCTGTCCAAGAGGGTGTATGTACAGCAGAAACAACAGTGGACCCAAAACAGAGCCTTGGGGTACCCCACAGAACAGATCAGTAGAATCGGACATAATTTGGTTTATACAGACACCGTAACTTCTGTTAGAAATGTACGATCTAAAATACCTCCCTCTAGGGAGCTCTAGACTTGCTAGGGATATTATGGGAGGAGGCCTATCAGGCAGACACTAAATCAGTTTTTTATACGTTATTTTTATACATTTATTTTATTACTTTACACTTTCTGGCCTGGAAGCATATTGGAATCACCCAAGAGTTACCAGGGAGTGTTGCAGAGAAGGATGTTTGAGTTTCTCGCTAGGAGTTATGTAACTATACATGTTTAGACTACTATGATAGACTGGACTCCATTTTGTGAATATGCATTTGATCAACATCACAGTTTTCATAAAAAACTGTTTGGCAGAAACTAAAATGATTTACCTTGATTCTATGGCACTTTCCACAGACAGGGGGCAGTAGATCCTATCATAGGTAGTCTCCTGCAACAAGAAAGCCAATCAGAGTCCACACGTGTTCATCTGAAAACCTGAAAAAGTTCATACTGACTGTAACTCGGTGAGTAATGACTGTCTTTAAGGCCTCTGAGGAAATCTGCAATAAGGAGCCAACCCTTCTGATCTCAGCCTCACTGAAGACTTGTGCAACCTCGAACGAGTCACTCTGGGAAACAAAACGATACTTGATAACAGTGTTCATCCAGTTCCTATCATGCATTTCTCTCATTCAGACATACACCTCATATGAGCTGAAACAGATGTTGCCCAGCTGCAGGATGGAGGAGAGAACAGCCCAGATGGTGGACATGTGATCAGCATGAAGGCCAATAGTCTCAAAGCACCGTAGCAAAAGCTTGAAGTCCTGTTTGTCTTGCTTCCCCCTTAAATCACAGGCACCACCCTACAGGACACCAGCAAAAACACGCACAAAAACTAAAAGGACAAAACAGAAGAAAGAGAAAAAGAGACAGGGAAAGGATGCTTTTGGTGTCCCATACTTGGTTTAGGTAGTAATAGGTCTCAGCTCCCTGCAGGTAAAGCTCCTTTTTGTCCCAGTCGTTCATACCCGCCAGCAGCTCATAAAACACGTGGTAGTTCCTCTCCTCGTTGGACTACAGTAGAAAACAGGCTGTTCTCAACACCAGCAACAAAAACCAACAACCACAGGTGATGATACCGGAGCAGTCTCTTCAATTACAGCCATGACCAGAAGATCTGAGAAAGATGCAGGTTGCAGTGGGATCAAGCTTTAGGGAGTTTTCTTGAAGTGGACCCAATATGTTTCTGTTCCTGTCCTGATCCACCAAGTTCTGACTTTATCCTTCTAGCCCGGTGCTCTTTTATGCTGGAGAAGACACTGTTCTTGTTGGACGGTTGGAGGTGTTCCTCTGGGAGGATGTTTAGGCATCATTCTTTATTCATGGCTGTTGTGGAGCATAACTGTGTGTGAGTCCACTCTTTTGGTTCAGAAGTGCCCCCACCCCCACCCCCACGATGCTTTACTGTTGGAGGACACAGAACCGATGGGAGTGCCCACCTGTTCTTCTCTAGATTTTCTTTTTTCTAAAAGCTCCCAACTATCAGAAGGATGATTCATCAGAAAAGATGACGTTCCTCCAGTCCACAGCAGTCTGATCCCTGGGCCTTCAGCAGAACATCAGTCTGTCCCTGATGGTTTCCTTACAGAGTTTATTTCCTGCCAGTCCTAACACCAGGCCTTCCTCCTGAAGTCTTTTCACTGGGCTGCAGGTCCTCTCACACCTGGGGCCTCATTCATCAAACATTCACAGAAATATCTCTAAACATCGCGTTATGATCAGGGAGCAGAGGGGGTTCTGGAGGTAGATGTCAAATAGAACATGGACTGGAATCGGATTTGTGCGGTTTATCTGTCGCTCCACAACCAAATCCCAGCATGGCTCCAGAGGGATCTGCTGTCAGCACACTCACGGAGCCGCGGTTCCTCCAGAGAGATGTTCTGACAGAGCCTTCATGATAACATAGAAACGATCTTTTATTTAACGCATCTCAAGCTGAATAATGAGGAGATTCACAAGGACACACATATAATATAATTATATAAAAATAATATTATTTAATTAAAAAGATCAAAAGCAAAGTGAAAATAGGAAGAGAAAAAATTGTGATTACAAAAACACGACATCCGTTCTACAAAGTCAGATTCCCGTCGGGTGTTCAGCGCCACTCATGTGACTCAGCTGTTTTCCCACCTAAATATGTGTTTAGTGGGTAAAATGATGAGTGGATGAGGAACGTGTGTGGATGACTGAGACCTTCGGTGTGGTGGTTCCCCCGTTCTACCACTAGATGGTGTTCCTACACACGGTCTGAAGTTTTCTGAAGTTTAGGAACGTTTCTGCACGCAGGTACAACATGATGATTACCACACAGTGTGTAAGTTAGTTCCGACACACGATACACGCACAGGTCTGTGCATAAGTACGGTTACTAAATGAGGCCTGTGGTGCTGATGTCACACAGCTGGATCAGCTCTGGTGGACATCCAGTCCCACAGCTGGCTCAGCTTCAGTAACGGTCTTGGTGCTGCTGGACCGCAGGTCGTTTTAACAAAATCAATGGCAGTAGTCTTCTCTTCTGAACATGCTAGAATAAAAAACCCGTAATCACAATATTAGGACTGGTACTCGGTTGAACTGCTGCAAATATCCAGTCCCAACACCGAGGAGCTATCTATGATGACTGACTGGCTTCCTTTAACACCTCAGAGTTACAGAGGGATGTGAACGTTTGGGCAGCCATGTTAATCTTAATTATTTTCCTGTATAACTGTTCAACAAAAAATTCAGTAAAATTGGTCATATAGGAGACACACACACTGATGTTAGAGAACATTTAACCCTCCCACTGTCCTGTCGGGTGACCCCTACAGGAAACATGACCGTTGAGCAGGGTTGATAGTTTATCCTGTAACGTACCAACTGGTCAAATTTTCACCAACAAACTGACCAGGAAGTAACCTTTCATTTGCAGACATAAGCCCACCATCTGTCTGGCCTCCAAATCCAGAAAGTTCTGCTCAGTTCTTGTTTCCGTAGAAAAGACAACACATCTTTGCTCAGGGCCTCATGCCAGACTGCTGCACTGTAAATAAATGTCAACCTGCTAAATATTTGGTTCTTTTCTTAAAGTGAACATGTGTATTATTCCTGGCGACTGGGGGCAGTAGATACCCAAGCAAGCAGTATTTTTGTGTTGGAGTAAGACCTTACCAGCTGATGCTCATTAGGGTCAAAAAGCCCTGTCATGCCATTATGGCGGCGCGCGCAGCCGCAGCACACGGTTCTGGGAGATGGGCGTCCCATCAGCAGGTGGAGGTGAGATATTGGAGGTGTGGCGTGAGAGCGTGTGAAGAGGGTCGAATGCGTGTGTCTCACGCTCAGTGCGTGAGAGTTGGCAGCTTTGTTAACTTCTGCCTAATTATAATTTCAGTCTTTTCTTTTTGCTATATTTGAAGTTATTAATCACTTCAGTGACTTGTGTGAAAGCACATGAATAAATGTGAGGATTACCGCATAAACACGGCTCAAATCCTGACGTAATGTCCCAGAGAGGATTTGTTTTCACAGTACTGTATACAAGCTAACAGTACATTTATTATGACATCACATCAGTTCGTCTGCTTTGAGATGGTCAAAATCTGAAAGTTGAAATGTTTCATTTAAAAGTAGAAAATCACTCATGGGCTAAGCCCCGGATCTTTTAAAATCCTAAATCCACCCCTGCTACACTTACAACTTTTGTGACAGCTTCAGAGAAGTAGGCTGATTCATGTCTAAGTCACAAAGGAGCCCGTTTAATGTGGCCAACCGTTTCAAATTAAAGCTAGGGCCTTCACAGCCCCTCATACTCACCTGAAACACAACCCTGGACTTCTCCAGTAGATATTTGGACAATGAAGTCCCTACAACATCTCCTCTGTCAACCAAGAGGACAAACAGACAAGTCAAACAGCTATGACCCATCTCAGCAGGCTTTAAACTAATCATGCAGAGATAGAGAACTTCGTGGACTTACTGGAGAATGTGGATGTGGAGGTACTTGCCAAAGCGGCTGGAGTTGTTGTTGTGGATAGTCTTGGCATTTCCAAAGCTCTCGAGGATGGGGAAGACCTCCATAGGCTGATAAATTGGAAGACACTTTAGAAAGAAATGGTGTGTGCTAAGGTAGACCTGGTGTTGGGGTTACCTGTTGGAGGCTGTTGCTTCCACTGTTGTACATAGAGCTCAGATAGTGGACAATCAGCTTTGTAGCTTCAGTCTTCCCAGAACCGCTCTGTCCACTAAAGCAAGGTCAGAGAAACAAACTCGTTCAGTTAGTTAATGTAGCACCATCTGTTGTAGGGTCTCCGTGGCGGAGAAGGTGTTAAAAACTCAACTAAAACAGCTCTGGTGCACCAAAATGTTGTTCTGAAGCATTTGGGGCATATTGCTTCAACTGCTCTTCACATACTGATGCATGATGAAGAGTATTGTTGAGAATATTAGTATTTAAATGTAAAGGATGGGTAGTTTACATCTTTCTTATGAACCATGAAATGTGAGATTCCATATGAATATGAAATATCAATCTGATGGATCTTTGAATATTTTAACCAGAAGATCAGAACTTTTTATTGCAGGGATTAAGCGACACTTCGTATTAACCCCGAGGAAAGAGAGAGAGTCAGGTTTATAAGAAATTTATTTCTACACAATTTAAACAAGACTAACTTTAACACTCTGTGTACCGATGGACTAAGGTGGAGTGAGACGTGAGATGAATGATGGTGTGTGTGTGTGGAATGTTATTCAGAACCAGCGGGTCCGGAGAAGCGGTTAGTTCTGAGTGGGAGTGAACGTTTCGCTCTAAACTTTAGTCGGAGATTTATAACACACATGAGACGCCATCTGTCGGTCTACGTACCCCAGGGGAAGCTTTCATCAGATCCAGCATGCCGAGGTCCTCTTGGACCCTCCTTGGTACCGAAGCCGGTAGAAAAGCAGCGGCGCCGACCAAACTAGTCTTGGAATGCTTCCAGGTCACGACAGGTTATCACTGGCGTCTCCGAGACCCTGAAGGGGTCGTGAGGTTCAGCTTTTATTCTGAAGGAACCGTTGCGGTCAGGTGTAACTTGCAACAGATTTTATCCAGCTTGTCGAGGTTCTTTTGGCTGAAGAGGAAGTCCGGATGGCCGGTCCGAGACTTCTCTAGAACGCTTGAACTAAAGAAAAGGTGGCATGGGAGAGTTTTTATAATTGTCATATTTTGGTTTACTGGCGAATCAGAATTTGACATGAAAAAGAGGGTTTATACAAACACCACAGATAACCACGCCTAGCCAGAAACGAAGGTTCTGATTGGATCAGACAAAAGGAAGTGTGTCGTGTGACTGTAGCATTACATGTCATTAGTGTCTAGTGCAAACGTCCAGGATTATAATAACTTGTAAAATACTACTGATTACAGGATTATTATATCAAGTAATAACATTGTCATTTCACAGATTGATTGAACATTGGGCTCACATTATTATTGGTAATAACAGAGTTGTTGATTATGTATTTATCAAAAGAGAGTTCTTCGTCTTGAGCTGTAACAGAGGTGAAGCAGTTCAGAGGAGCAGAGTGCATGAAAGACCTTGGCCACTATCTTACGTAGATTAGCCTGTCAGAGACTTTATGTCTCTGCTCAAGCAGACGCAGCAGATCATGACCTTTAGGTCAACAACAGGACATTCATGACGCTACATAATTATGTTATTGATTGAAAGCCAATTTAGTAAACACTGTTCAATTAATTATAAGAGGTGGGTTACAATGTGTTTTTACTTCCTTGTGATCTTTTTTGGATTTGTAAATTCCTAATTTAATTTAAAGATTATTATTTGTCATTTTTATTTGTTTTTGAATCATTTGCATATTATCATTTTAGTGAGTTTAGTTCTTTCTCCTTTGATTTGGTGTTGTCTTTGATGTGCCAGTGTCACCTGCTACCCATTACACTCCTGTTGTGCTCGGCAGCCTCGCCTCTGTCAGTGCGCCCCAGGTCAGCTGTGGCTACATCGTAGCTCATCACCATCAGTGTGTGAATGTGTGTGTGAATGGATGAATGATACACTGTAGTGTAAAGTGCTTTGGAGTCCTTACTCTGAAAGGCGCTATACAAGTGTGGATCATTTATCATTGTCAATAAAAAGGTATCTGAGTGATCACACTGCTTCAGTTTTTATAGACCTGGTGAATTTGTCAGCACGTTTATCTTTTAGAGCAGGGGTGTCAAACTCAAACTCACACGGGGCCGGAATGAAACTCTGGGACGGAGTCGAGGGCCAAACTTAATATTTTTTTGAAAAAGTGACGGCAAATTTGCACATTTTCTTTATCAACATATATGCAATGTTGAACCTTTAAATTTGGAAACAAACATATTTCTGCATTAACGCTGAAAGTGGAATAACCAAATTACACACAAGCAAGTCCGTTTTAAATAAAAGGCATCAGTGGTATTCATTACTTGTGGTTTAATCAGCATTTTTAAAATCTATTCAGGATTTATGTTTTCTTGTTTATTCATTTTTCTTATTTTTTATTCTCCTTTTTTCTCCTGTAATACGTGTCATCGCTGCTGTGACGTCTAGCTTTCCCCACTGAGGAACAATAAAGGGATTTTCTATTCTATTCATCTATCTGCAGCCTTTCCACTTCCTGTTTACTGTAGGTAAAATCTTTTCTCACAGGCCAACAACAAAATAAAAACATCATTTTATCTTAAATGAAAATGCAACATCTCACCTGTTAACTTTCATGTTTTGGAGCAGAAAAAGAGCATCAAACCAACATATTTAAAGCTCAGTTTGCTCCACTGGTTTACTGTGATGCTCACCTGTTCCAGCCAGATACCTGCATCATGGGGTTGATCTGAGCTGAGGAGGAGACTCCTGTTGTTTTGTTCATCTTCATCATAATAATGACAACATTAGATGACAACAGGTGCTCACATAGGTTTGTGCTGATGAACATGTCTGAGCAGCTTGACCACGTTGTTGTGTGTCGGGGAGGAAACACAACCACAGCAACCACAGAGTCGTGCTGGTTTGAGCGTGTCGCTGCTCGCTGGAGTTATATCAGCTCTGTCTGGAAGTTAGTTGGAAAACTTTCTCTTTCAGTCGTGAACACATTACTGAGCGGCTAGAATCTCCGTTTCTGGGCTTCAACGTCAGAAAACAGCTGAGTGAACTCGGCGCTGAGTGAGAGGAGTGTTTAGTTTGTCCGAGACGGCGGAGCTGCAGACACCGGCAGCAGGCGCTGGAAAAAGCACAAAGGAGGGGGCGCTTCGGCTCCGCGCTAACGCCGCAAAGCATCATGGGAGTTGAAGTCTTTGCGGTAAAATCATCCAGCGGGTCAGATTTAATATATTTTTGGTATTTATCTCGCGGGCCACATAAAAATGCTCCGCAGGCCTTGTGTGTGACACGTGTTTTAGATCAACTACAAAACTCATGAAGTCCTTGACACCATTACACCCAAAAGGTCAAACATATCTCTGGCAAACAAAAAGCTCCATGGAGGTTCACTAAATCAGTTACAGGTCAGAAGAAAATGCAGAAAAGCTGCATGTAAAAAGCATTCTACCTTCAAAATGCAGCTGCACACTTAAAGCTTAGTACACTAAAGCGAGACAAGCCTTATTCTCCAAAGTCATTAGTGATAATATTAACCCGTGTCCTGCTAGTGAGAGGCTAACTAATCTCCCAACACAGTTAAATCCTGATTTCATTCCCCAAACTAAGTCTAACGAGTTTGCATCATTTTTCAATGAGAAGATCATAAACATCAGATCAACCATTAATTCCTCCACACCATCCATCACAACCAGACCACAGCTACGCAGCAACAATCCGGCTAGAACACCAGCTTTCAGTGTGATCAGTGCTAAAACGCTGGAGCACATAGTTAGCCCTTAAACTCATCTACCTGCTGTCTGGACAACCTGCCAACTAACTTCTAAAATGTTTTTAGCTGCTTAAAAGGCAAGGCAGCTTTATTTCTAGAGCACATGTCAAACACAGAGGCAGTTCAATGTGCTTTACAATTATCAGGACATGATATGAGAACAACATAAAAGCACAAATTTAAATACACACAGATAGAATTACAGTTTAGAGCTAAAGGAGAAGACAAAGGTACATCACAGATTAGAGCGGAGACGATGCAGCACAAGAAACAATTCATGTAAAGGTGATGAGTACATGAGGGTTTATATAAACAACACTAGGGTTGGGGCACGTCTGAGGTCATGGGGGAGCTGAGTCCATAGGTGAGCAGCGTAGTAACTAAATGCATCTCCAACATGTTTTAGGGCTGTTCAATTAATCGAATTTTAATCACGATTACGATCTGAGTTTTGAACGATTATAAAAAACATAACAAGCCGATTATTTGCTCCTCCCGCTTGCGCTGCCCTAAGTTGCAAATGAAGCGCTCCTCACAGTGTTGCCAACTTAGCGACTTTGACGCTATTTCTAGCAGCTTTTCAGACCCCCTTCTTGACTCTTTAATCCTAAAAGTACCTAGCGAACACCTCAGAAACATCTCTGGTAACCCTTAGCTACTTTCTGGATAACTGTCGTCGACATTTCCTGCAGGTTAGCTAAACACTCCGCCTGTGCTCCGGACCGTTCTTCACAACATTAGGAAAGGGAATGATGCAGTGATGTGTCGGTCGCTAAAGACAGCTCTCGGAGCCGGCTCCTTGTTGGAGCAACCAGAGTGAGTGACACACACACCGCACCTGCGGTCTCCTGAGCAGCTAAAAACAGCTAAATGTGCGCGTGCGGCGTGCTAAACACACGTGCAGCTTGCCCGATTATGTGAGACCGGGGTGGGGGGGTGGGGGGTGCAGCTGTGGTCGGGACAGTTATTACATTAACTGATGGGCCTGTAAATAAATAGTTTATAAATAAGCTAGAAATAAGTTCCTCACGCTGATAACTAATCTCTCTGAGGACACAGTGCTACAGCACCTTGACACGACTCAATAAATGTTATGTAACATTTTGTGAACATCAGTTTATTTGCATTTATTTGTTATAAATGCCACTCTATAATTCTTGCTGTCAGTATTTGCAAGATATTGGTATTTGGGTCTGTACTGGTTAGACTTACATGAGTTAAACCAAGGTCTATAGCCCTTGGGTCATAGACTATGAGCTATAAGTATATTGGTCCTTTTATCCTGGGAATCAGGAGTTATTTTAGTGATCATCTTGTTTCTTATTTTTGTCCTGATTGTGCCCTGAGCAGTTTTATGACTGAATAAAAACAAATAAAATCAACATAAATTGAAAAATCGTCCTAAATAATCGTGATCTCAATTTCAGTCACCATAATCGTGATTATTATTTTTGCCATAATCGAGCAGCCCTACCATGTTTGGTTCTGACCCGAGGTTCTACCAGCTGATTGGTTCCAAGGGATCTCAGAGATGCATCAGCATCTCCGTATTGGCTCAAGAGAGAATAGGGCAGACTCTAGCAATGTTCTTTAGATGATAAAAACCTATTTTAGTGATGATTTTTATGTGTGGGATAAGTCAGCTCAGATTTGAAAGTCACTAGCCTGGCCTGCCAGACTCCTCATCTGTTTAATTCTGCACAGAGAAAGGGTCCGGGAACTCTCCTATTCAAATAACCCCGCCCCCTGAGAATTCTAACCGAGCCAATCAGCTCTGAGTGCATCCATTACTTGAGTGTCATCAGGAGACACGGTGATGCACAACAGTGTATCATCAGCGTAATTGTGGAAATTAACCCCGTGTCTCCTGATGACGCCGCCAAGAGGGAGCATATAGAGCAGGGGTGGGCAATTATTTTTTCCATGGGGCCACATGAGAAATAGAAAATATTGTGGAGGGCCAGGCCAAAAGGCTGAAGTCAATTATGCATAATATTAATGGTATTTCTTTATAAAAAGCAGTAAATACCATTGTTTCTTCAAGCTGGTAAGAGTAGACTATATGTTATGAATGAGCAAAAAGGAAAAAGTGAGGTTGTCTTACAAAAATGTGATTTATTCAAATTTCCCAAGGCAATGGTAAACAAAGTGTGCACATTTGGTTTTTGTTAAACATTTGTGACTTATATTAGTTAACAGTTTCAGTTACATTCACTCCAAACCACTTTCTGAGTTTCAAATATTGTTGGAAAGAGGTTCTTAGCATTCTACAGACACACAGTATTGTCTGTAAAATAAAATCACTGAACTGTGATCTTGAGAAAGAGGTTTAAAAAAAAGTGTCCCAGTTCACTGCTAGTTGCCTACATTTGTGGTCCAAACACCTTATTTTGTGTTTTTAAGCGATTTTTTTCTTATTCAGTGAGAGAAATCTAGTCTCTGCTGGGCTTTAGCGAGTGCATCAAAGTCAGGTTGAATGTCTGAGGTGGAGATGCGAAGCACAGCTGACAAATGATCATCAGTGAGAGAGGATCTTTACCTGGATTTTGTAAACTTAATCATTGAAAATGCTTGTTCACAAATGTAGGTAGAGCCGAAGAGAACCAACATCTTCTGAGCATGTCTCCTCAGGTTTGGAAAGTCCTCCTCCTTAAGAGAAGAGTAGAAATCCAGCAGAGATCCTGAATCTCTGCTTTCAAGTCCCAAACCCTCTTCAGCACTTTCCCCAGGCTGAGCCATCTGACAGCTGTGTGGAGTCCTCCACAAGAGCCACAAACTGTCTGTGATTCATGGCCCGCGCCCTGATGAAGTTTATTATTTTAGTAACAACATCAGTAACATGGTTGATTTTTAGCACTGACTTGCACAACACATGTTGGTGTATAATACAATGCAAAAACACCTATTTTTGATCTGCATCGATTTCTGTCACTTTATCTTGCATGCGTTTCAAAAGTCCGACATTTTTCCCTGTAAGATTTGAACAACCGTCTGTTGTGACACCTGACAGTCTCTCCCATTTCAATCCCAGAGTGTCCGTGCACACATTTACCTCTGTAGAAACATCACTCCCTGTCGTTGTCCCTTTCATCGACCGCATTGCTGCCCGCTCCTCTGTGAGCTTGAAGTCCGTTATCCCCGGACAAATACGAGCAGCTGGGCTGTGTCCCGGACATCACAGCTCCCGTCTAATGAGAAAAAGTCAAAACTTGCCACTTCACGTTGCAGCTGAAGCTCCAGGTTCCCCGCAATGTCCTCGATCCTCCTGGTCACGGTTCACCTGGACAGCGGGATTTGCTCAAGTGCGCCTTTTATTTCAGGGCATATTAGTGCGGCAGAGTCCTCCATGCACTCTGACAAACTCTCCCTCCGAAAACGGCTTGCCGTTTTTAGCTATTTTGTGGGATATCACAAAGCTGGTCCTGGTTGCTGCATCCCTGGATGTGTGAAGCTTAGTAAAACAGCCTTGCTGCTTTTGCAACTTTGCTAGCAAAGCTTCGGATGTCCGTGCCCTCTCAGCATCAGATGAGTTCTTGTATTTTTCCGAGTGTTTCTTGTCGTAATGCCGACTCAAATTGTAGTCCTTAAACACGGCAATCTCCTCCCCGCAAACCAAACACACGGCTTTACCTCCGACTTCAGTAAAAAAATACTTAGCAGTCCAATTTTTGTTGAAAATCCTGCATTCGGCATCTTTCTTTTTTTTTTCCATGAGCGGACATTTCTCGGGCTACAATCACCATGTCAACCGCGGGCACTTGTGGCTATACGTATTGCGTCATTGTGCACGTAAAAAACAACTTCAAAATAAAAGCAATGCAGCCTTAGCCCATGCATGAGGTAAAATGAGAAAATACATTTATTTTGTAATTTCCAATTAACCTTACGCGGGCCGGTCAAAGTCAACCAAAGGGCCGGATGTGGCCCGCGGGCCGTAAAATGCCCAGGTCTGATATAGAGGTTAAAAAGCACTGGGCCTAAAACTGAACCCTGGGGCACACCACATGTAATCCCATGAACCCTAAAAGAGTAGGTATCCAAACTCACCATGAAAGTCCTGTCTGTCAGGTAGGAAGTGAACCATATGTGGACAGCACCAGAGAGGCCGATCTGTTTTGAACGAGTTAAAAGAACAGTGTGGTCTACTGTGTCAAAGGCAGTGCTAAGATCCAGTAGAACCAACACTGTTACCCTTTGGGCATCATAACTTACTCTAAAATATTTTAAAGTCTTCAGAAGGGCCGTCTCGGTGCTGTGGTTCACCCTAAAACCAGACTGAAACCTCTCTATGACATTATGAGTGTTGACAAAATAGTTAATTTGAATTAAAACAAGTTTTTCTAGAATGTAGCCTAAAAATGGTAAGTTGGATACTGGTCTGAAGTTGTTTAAATCATCAAAATCTAAATTGCTCTTCTTCAACAGGCGTCTCACCACCGACCCTTTAAAAGGCGGCAGGAAAGACCCAACCATACTGCTTTCTCAGTACAATGATGAATTTATTCATACTGAAATTAATCAAAACAAGCTGAAGGTTCCTGCCTCCAATCTTACCACTGCCAAGACAGTCAGGACATTCCAGAACCACACAGTAAGAACATATGTCCGTACCTTATGATGATGCACTGTTCTTGTGTGGACAACTGAGAAAGTCTGAAGGCAGAATCAGCTATGGCGTACACATGGCTGGAACAGGAAGCACCGTCAGGTCAAGAACCGTATAAATCCCCAAAAATAAACACTTTGAAAGGAATCAACGTTTGGGTTAGAAAGCATAACAGCCATGTACTCACGCTGGCCTTGCATGCTGCTCTTTGCCCTCATAGATCTGCCTGATCTCCTGTGAGTAAATGTTCACAGGCTTGAAGGGGTTCATAGATAGCAGCATGTTCCCAATGTAGGTCTGAATAAACACACAAAGGTGTAAGCGAGGCTCGGTGTTTCGTCTACCATGACTACAGCTGTGGACAAACGTTTGAGAGCGACCCAGATATGAATCACCACAGAGTCTGTTGCTTCAATTTCTATGATTTTTGCATACGCTCTAGAATGGTCTACAGAGTCATCCGATGGATTAGCACTGAAAATACAAAACCTCTCTTTATTATCAAAATTAACTTATTAAGTAGCCCCAAAAAATTCCACTGAATTTGTGAATCAGAGCACCAAGACGGTCTAGCAGCAACAAAGTTGTCTATCAATGGGGTTGGGGCTCCAGCATGTGTGAGAGCATCTGTAGCCCAGTGAGTAGAAGACTTTAGGAGCAAGACCTGGTGTCAAAAAGGACAGCAAAGAAGCCATTTCTCTCTGAGGAGACCATCAGGGACAGACTGATGTCCTGCTGAAGGTCCAACGATCAAACTGCTGAGGACTGGAGGAAAGTCATCTTCTCTGATGAATCTTCTTACTGATTGTTTGGTGCTTCTGGGAAAAAAATCATTTAAAGAACAGGTGAGCACTCCCATCAGTCACGTGTCCTCCAACAGTAAAGCCTAAGTCACGCTTCTGCGTCTGCGTCAGTGCGGAGACACGCAACGCCATTATCTGTCCTTGCAGGCCTGCTGGAGAGCTCCGCAAGGATGGACGGAGTCGAGCTCTCTTTTTTAAACATCCGTCAGTCGAGAAGGACAACGTAGGCTTGTGATTGGTCAGGACGCCTCTGTCATCTACAGCGCCGGCATTGCGCCCTCAAAAACATAAAGAGAGCCGAGGATAACTAGCGGCAGACACGGAGAAGCTTGAAGAATACCTCGCGAAAAAACTCTAAAAACATGAACGTTTAATTCCCCGTGACTGGAGGAGTGAAAAGATGCACAGCAAGCGTTTTATTTGTGGACGGAAATGACAGGAAACGTGGGTTTAGAGGTGGCGAGCGCATGAAGTGGTGGAGGAGAATGAGAGACAAATGTGTCTGTTAAAATGTCTCTCATATACAAAAAACCACAATATAAACACACCATCTTGGACCGGATACATGACAGGATACCACAGAAGAGTGCTACGCCCTCTGCTGTCCTGGTGGGGAATTGCTTTGCAACACTCCCCAGGAGACGGAGAAGTATGAGAGCAAAATGTCTCCGTCCGTGCGTGTCTCTCCCTGTTGGAGCTGACGGAGAAGCATGACTCAGGCTTAAAGCATCATAAGACGGGGGTGGTGGTTGGGGCACCTCTGAGCCAAAAGATTGGACTTAATTATGGTTAAACCTCAGAACAGCCATGAGTAAAGGATGGTACCTAAACATCCTCCCAGTGGAACTCCTCCAATCACCCATTAACAGCTTGGTGTTGAACGATAGGACACTACTCACTCTAAAACAGCTCTGCACAGCGTGGATTCATTCAGCTCCTCCAGTTAATCAGTGGCCACAGTCGCCATGCCGGCCCGACTCAGCCTTGCCAGGAACTTCTACGGAGCAGGGACTACATAGCGAACTGTGCTCTTGGACAAGTGGTTGGGTTGAGCTGCACTTGTCTGAGTTATGCGGAGTAGTGCAGCTAAAGTCCTCTCTAGCATGATGGAGCACCGGGCCAGAAGGATAAAGTAGGAACTAAGTTGATCAGGACCAGAACATTAACATGTTGGGACCAGGTCTAGGAAACTGAACTTGTGGTCCATCCTCCAGAGGCATAGGATACATACAACCCCACAAAACATTGATTGTGAAGATTTAGCTCCAACAGTCGGGATCTGGACCAGAAGATGCTTGGCATCCTTTATAGAAGGACTCACACTGGAGATATTGACTCTTCATGTAACGGTCTATAGCGCTTTTTTTAGAAGACACAGCATGCCTGCAAATCAGTGTAATACTGAAGCCATGGTGTGTCTTCTGAAGTGTGGTGGCATGGCGTTGCAGGAATTTGACCTTGGTGCAGCAGAAGGAGGTGTCATGATCATGTTAGGAGCTACTGCCAAGCTCCATCAGGAAACTTTATTAAAAATGAAAGAAAACATGGTTCTCGTCAGCTGAGATGATAAACTGGAGTGATGCAGAGCTCCAGGAGCTTCTCTCCATTAGAGCTGGAGCTGAGATCACCTGACTGGGACTCTGGTGGACAGAGACCTTTGGGAAACAGAATTATTGTGCATGGCTTCCACCGCGATAAAAACCAAGTAACGCCCAAGCCAAATGGAAGCGAAAACAGCACTGGAGTCATTCATCAAACTTTTGTTCACAGCTGCAGACAAGTTCATTGGAGCTGAGGAAGTTGAACGAGCAGCAACACTTACATAAATACAGTCTCGCTGGAACTTTTTCTTCAGATTCAGAAGCACTGAGCTCTCTGTCACCTCTCTACAAACAGATGACAGACTGCTCTGAAGCTGTGCTCAGACAATGGAAATACAGCAGCTCTGTGTGGATTCACCAACTTACTGCAGCTGGACCAGATCCTCCACTTCGTCCACCTCCATAGCTCCTTTTCTGCTAGGCATCACCACCTGAAGAAGGGCAAAGACGTGATCAACACGACGATGAAGGTCAGCCCACCCCATCCCCTGGTAGAGTCAGCTACGTTTACCTAACGGTTGTCTTCTAGTGTGGAGTGAAATCACCATTAGTGGTGAAGATGAGACTACCTGAGTCCTGGTGGCTTTAAGTGGATTTTGTTTGGCTGCAAATGAGCTTTGCTACGAAAGCTTCCCCAGCAGGTAACTAAAGCTCTTCCAGCATGAGAGTGGAGCGATAGCTGATATGCTGTAATCTCAGAGGCACGCTGCTGTGTGCTGTATGCTCCATTGTTTCTACACGACCCAGGAAATGAATAAACCAGCAGCAGGTGTGTTGGGTCTGCACACCAGCTCAACGTGGTGAAGTAGAGCAAAGCTGCACCAAAACAAATGCACACATTTACTTCTCACAGCATAAACCAACGAGAAACAAGCCAGAAAAGTCGGAGTGGTTCTAATCCACCAAACAGCTCCGTAGTGTGGCTGTCTGCAGCTCGCCGCTCCCACGGGGGATGGGCCACACGCAGTGTGACAACTAGTGCGACTTTGACTTTAATCCCATCCTCACCCGTTTATCTGAGCTGCTGTTTGTCAGAACACTTTCAAACACCTGAGCACCTCGCTCAAACTGTAATGGTTTCATTGATCGGAGTCAGTTTTTGCTCCAATAAATCATCCAATCACAGTGCAGCGATTGTGCACCAGTTCAGCAAAAGAGTGGGAAAATTAAAGACATCGATCCCGGGGTCAAAAACACCTAAATGCATTTATAGGCTAGAGTTCAAGACAACAAAAGGGCTTTTAAACATGTCACAGTGATGTTGTTCAGGTTATTTCTTACAGGCTGGGCCGCTAGAGCTCACGCGTGTCCTCCAACAGTAAGTCATCATGAGACATTCACTTCCTAATGACTGAGTCAGAGCTGCTGTGAGGAAAAAGCACAGTCTGCCTCAACCTTGGCGCTGGAGATAGGGTTACCAGATGGAGTCACTGAAATTCTGGGTGTGTCTTCATCCAGGGATGCTTTTGAGTCCAATGACGTAACAATGCAACAAGTTCTGTCCGAATCAGAAGGATACTCATCGGCCCGATCCCAATACTCGCGCTGCGCCCTACGGTCCTCTGTGAAGTGCACTTGGAGGAAGCTGCCTCAATGGGTTCGACACATGGAAGGCGACTACTGACCGTGATCAACAAAACTGCTCGCCATCGTTTTGATAACCGGACACACGGGAGGGGACATGTGGCAGTTTCTTTATGAAGCACACGTTAAAACTGCGTTGGAGCTGATCAAAGTGCTGAACAGCAGAAGTCCCAGTAATGAAACACAGTCCCTAAAACATCTAAAATAATAATAATGATAAATAAATAAAACAATACAGGAATAAACAATAAAACATCAGTCCTGACAAACAGGTGGCCATCGTGGTACAATAATAGGACTTGAGGCTAGACTTTAAACGCTCAGGGGGAGGGGCTTGTCTAACGTGCAGAGGAAGAGCGTTCCACAGCTTTGGGGCAGCACATGAGCAAGAAAGCACGCTCGCTTTAAGCTTTAAATCGTGCAACAGGAACAGCCAACAGTGATGGTTCAGTGGAGCAAAAGGACCGTCTGGGGATATAGGGAGTTATAATGTCCAACACATTCTCACACTCAAAGCATCGAAGACTGAGCGTGCGTTTCCAATGCGCTGTGCCAGAGCGCCGGTTTCCGACTGCCACGGAAAAACGGACATTTAACCTCTTGCTATTAAACTCTCCCCGAACCCCCATCCTAACCTTAACCCGCATTCAAAACGTTGTTCCTTGTTGTAACGTCCCTCTCCAACATGGTTAACGGGAAGTTTAGAATGCGCAGTGGGGTTAAGGTTAGGATGGGGGAGAGGGGGAGGTTAAATAGCAAGAGAAAAGAAGTTAAATGCCGGTGAAATGTGTGTTTTACCGTGGGCGTCTAAAGCAAACGCCCAGAAACACAACAAACAAGAATTTGCAGGCACTGCTAAAACAGTTGACCTGAAAGTGGCTTTGTCCATCAAACAAGGTCACTCTGAAGACCCACAGACGTTCTACCTCCAACTTTTCAAAGCTTATTTCGGTTCCTGAAATGAACCTGATATGGAAGAAGACGGAGTCTTTTGTAGTGACATGAATGGCCTCTAATTTGTGACAAAGGTCACACTTTCCCAGCTGGGTCGTGCCGTAACTTTTGCTCCACAGATTACCCGCCAGGAGCCGTGATGTCTGCTGAACAACATCTTTATCTGCTGCTGTTCCGTCCCAAGATGAAGGACACTTCAAGATTTCAACATAATAATTTTTAAATAATAATGTAATAAACTCTTTATTACTGTTTATTACAATCATCATAATTAATCATCTTGGTTCAGTATAAATCTATTTAATTACTGAAATGACTTATTATGCTTTGGGTAATAATAATAATTATTATGATCATCAGTAATGTGTGTTCATTAAACCAGAAGGTCATCTTGCACGTTAACCACCTCATGCAGAGGGTGAATCCAGGGTAAAGTTTAACCACCTCACATGTCTTTACTTCATGACATCAAGCTATCTGACACTGAGAGGGCGTGTTCTGAGGTTTTGTTAAAACCAAATTTCTGCAGCTGTAGTTCAGTTCTTGAACCCACCAGAGGACGAGGGATGGCCGCCCAAGTCTCTGCTAAGCATTCTGTCACTCTTATAGGCTTCAAATAAACGCACCTGTAACCAGCTGACGCAAAAACTCCTTCAGAGTTATTGATTTTGAGACGCAAATAGTTTCATCAGTCGTTGTGACCCAGAGACATCTCAGGACCGATTTGAGACGCACCGAGGTCTCTCTACCAACCTCGTGCCTGGAGGAAATGATCTCCCTGACATCTCGGATCCATGGAGGGTCTCCTGAACTGGGTGAGGTAGACATTGTCCAACAGATGGCGTCCGATGCTGTTCTCTAAGTAACATCAGATAGCTGCAAAACAACGTTTTCCACCCAGAACGTGCTTCTCTCTCTGAAAGAAACCTTCTGATTCATTCACACATCCAAACCTCGCATGTTAGCTTTTCATTCAGGTAAAGCTTTTAATAACAAGTTTTAATATCAAGCTGTTTCAAATTGTCATTTTTAAGTGTTAGTAATAAATTCTTAAATTTAAAAACCCGACTCTTCTTTCAAATGAAACACAGAATGGTGTATATTTTGGTTATTGAATAAGCAAAGATTCCTTAACTTCTGATTCAATAAATAAACTTTTGCTATTAAATTTAATGATCTTAAATTAAACATTAATCTTTGGACTGCACCTAATGGGCATGCACCTGGCGGTAAGGCGTTTCCTGTTTTCAGTGTTGCACTCCGTGTAGCCGTTTGGTGTTTGGGGCTCGCTAAAGCTGATTTAATTTCTCTGTACTAGGATATCTCTGAGTTATTGTAGCACAAAAGCACGCTAAAACACACATTTTCTGTTGTTCCACCTAGCTTTTAGGGAACCATTTGAGTTTGCACGCAGTTTATTTGGCGTTGAACAGTTTGCTCGTCCAGTTAGCTTAGCCTCAGCACGGCTATGGCTACTTCTGTCTCTGCTTCTCCGTCTCCTATCTCTTGCTCTCTGTGTCAGATGTTTAGTTACTCCTCTGCCTCCTTTAGCGATAATGGTACGTGTAATAAATGTAGCATTTTTGTAGCTTTGGAGGCGAGGGTGTCGGAATTGGAGTCCCGGCTCCGCGCTATTGAAAAACCCGTAAACAGCCGTAGCTACTTAGCTAGCGCAGGGCTAACTAGCTCAGAACCACCCCGTAGCGGTCCTCCAGCAGAACCCGAGCAGCTGGGACCTCAGGCCGGCTGGGTGACGGTACGCAGGAAGCATAGAACCCAGCCCGTGGGCCACCACCAACCCGTCCACGTTTCTAATAGATTTTCCCCGCTCAGTGACGCACCCACTGACAAGCCGACTCTGATCATTGGCAGCTCCATAGTCAGAAACGTGGCATTAGAGACTCCAGCAACCATAGTTAAATGTTTACCTGGGGCCAGAGCGGGCGACATTAAATCTTATCTGAAACTGCTGGCTAAGGATAAGCGTAAATACAGTAAGATTGTTATTCACGCTGGCGGTAACGACACCCGGTTACGCCAATCGGAGGTCACTAAAATTAATGTTGCTTCGGTGTGTAAGTTTGCCAAAACAATGTCGGACTCCGTAATTTTCTCTGGCCCCCTGCCTGATCGGACCAGTGACGACATGTTTAGCCGCATGCTGTCCTTCAACCGCTGGCTGTCTAGGTGGTGTCCTGAAAACAACGTGGGCTACATTGATAATTGGAAAACTTTTTGGGGAAAACCTGGTCTGATGCGGAGAGATGGCATCCATCCCTCTTTGGATGGTGCAGCTCTTCTTTCTAGGAATATGGCCAGTTTTATTAGTCCTCCATGACAACCCAGGGTCCAGACCAGGAAGCAGAGTCGTAGTTTAACCCACCCCTCTGCAGCTTCTGTACTGTTACCCACCCACTACCCCATAGAGACAGTGTCCTGCCCACGGCCAAAATCACACAGATTAAATATCAGGCTTAATAAAGCAAATCATGGAAATCTCATAAATATTAGAACAAATTCAACTGAGCAGAAAACTAGAAAAATTTAATGTGGGTTGTTGAACATTAGATCCATTTTTTCTAAGACTTTGTTAGTTAATGAGTTGATTTGTGATAATCAGATCTCTTTGCTCTCTCTCACAGAATCCTGGCTGCAGCAAGAGGACTATGTTAGCTTAAACGAGTCGACTCCTTCAAATTATTTAAATCATCACATTGCTCGAAGTACAGGGCGAGGAGGAGGAGTAGCAACCATTTTTCATTAGGACTTATTAATCAGTCCCTTACAGATTAATAGCTACAGTTCGTTTGAACATCTTATTCTTAGTTTTCCTAATTCAGATTGCAAAACTGTAAAACCACTCTTGTTTGTAGTTTTATATCGTCCACCAGGC